AAAAAAAAAAAAAAATCCTATATTTATTTATTTTTCTCTGCAAATCCTTTATGTACTATTTATTCCTGAGATCATGAAGCACAAAAAGTTTTTCTCTCTGCAAATCCTTTATTTATTTATTCCTGATTCGATATTTGGCAGTTAATTAATTGGACCAAAATTGGTATAAGGCTGGGGCCAAAAGACACTACATTGAACTGAAGAGGCGGAAACGATGCAAAACCTCATGTTCATGCCATGAAGAGACCGAAACGACCCAAAAAGTAACTGTAAATGTAAATGTCTTTAATGGAAGCCAACAAGAATTATCAACGAAAAATGTCGACAGAAACGCACCGTTTCATTCCTCTCCTTTTCCGGCAAAAACATGCTTCTTCATATACGGACATGTCTTCTGCAAGTTGTGCACAGTTATTGTTTTAAATTATCAAAACTAAAACAAAACAAAAAAACCAAAAAAAACAAAAAAACAAAAAAAAGTTCAAAACTCAGAAACACTGTCAGACTCACTCTCCAACCAACAATCTCATTCCCAGGTTTCTCTCTCTCTATGTTTTATATTTGTAACTCTTTTGGTTAAGTTTCATTGTTTTTTTTTTTTTGTCAATAAGTTTTATAGGATTTAGTTCAAGAAAAATGGTTGGAGAAAGATGTTTATGTGGGCATACGCAATGCTAATATTAAAAAAAAAAAAAAAGCCTGAAATTACCAAAGAGTGAAAACCAAATAAAGGTTGGTTGTTTGGATATTGTTCCATGGTTTCGTTTTCTATTTGTGTCATTTTATTATATTACTTGTACTGGTTTACCAATTGTCCAGAAAGTCACGACAAGGAAGAATTCCTGCTTAATTCTTTTGCTAGCATTAACGCGCTATTTAATTAATATAATGTGTTTTTGTTTTATATATAGCAAAGGAAAAAGAAAAATTCTTTTAATAAAGTTATATGGAATTTGAAACTCTTGTGTATTAGGAATAAAATAATTTTTGTACCTTTTGTCATAGTGAAATATCTCGTTGGTACTATATATTTTTCATTAGTACTGTGTTTTTAATAATATTAAAATAATATTTTCACTTAAAAAAAAACGTTCTTGAGGTTGCATGATACTGATTTTTGAGATATATAATGCTCATTCTATCATTCTCACTAACTAACAAAAAATTAATTTAAAAAAATTAAGAAATTAATTTAAAAATTTTAAAAAATCAAATTAAACTAAAATATTTTTAGAAAATATTTTTAAAGTTATTAGTTTATGTTTTATTAATGAAAATGACCGTTTAGACTTTGTATGTCTCAAAAATTGGTATCAAGACACAAAAAAACATTTCTTTAAAAGTAAAAGTATTATTTTAATGTTATTAAAAACATAAGTACCAATGAGATGTTTACAGAGGGTACTCAAATAATTTTACCGCCGTGTATATTTTTTGTATTATGTCAATTATGCCGTGTAACATACGATACGATCGATATGTAAATAAGTGTTCAATTTTAATCACTTAAAAGTCGTGGCGCAAACTTATTAAAATACATGTCGTTTTCAGGTAATAATCCACTTTTTTGTTTGAACCGTTTTGGTTTCTTGAACTCTTGGTTTCTTGAACTCCAAGTCATTGGTTTCCTCTTTCTTTCCCTCTCAATTACTATAAATAGGAACCTAGTAAACTATATCCGCTTCTGTTAAGCAGTTGAATAATATAATAGTAATAATTTTCTTGATTTCGGAATAACCGACGCAGGTATATTATTAAGTTTACAAGAAAACTCTCCCATGGATAATCACCACAAAAACCACTGTTTTCTTCTGTTTCTCTTAATTCTTCTGTTGGCTTCTTCAAACTGCCATTCATGGAGTTGGTTTTCTTCTTCTTCTTCTTCTTCCGAAGAGACTCATAATGATGAGTACTCGGCTTCTATGGTCTCTGAATTCTCCATAGAAGCATTCAATGACCAGAGAGGAATCGGGCGGGTCGAGAACGCAAAGAATAATATGGTCAGCCTGAGTTCTTGCTGGCAAAATGCTTATCAGCATCTCTTTGCCGGGTGCTCGGAGAGCTTGGCCGTCCACGAGAAACGGTCCAGGTTCGCTTGGCATCTCAGCGATTGCTTTCAAAAGGACTCCGGCAGGCCTTCTTTTCCTTTCTGTGATCCGAAAACTGCCATGGCTAAGTGCCTGAAAAGTTTGAATGAGTATGAGCATAAGGTTTACCTCGAATTCTACCTCGAAACGAATACAATCTGTCATCAGTTACAGTTAAGTATTGCTACGGATTTTCCTTTCTTTGTAATGGTATTTGTCATTTAAAATTATGTGCATAGTTCTGGATTGTCATATTTTCATTAAGTTCTATTAAATTTATATATACTTTTTTCTGCGATTTTGATGTGATATGACAATTTTTAGAAGTGCATAGTACTGATAAACTCAAGAAATCTCCACTCTTTATTTTACTTTTTTGTAATTTATTAAAAGACCGTCGAAAATGTTACAAACAAGTTATTGATTTATTTATTCTTTTTTATTTTTAGGAGATAAACTTAGAAAAGTTTTGTTTTCCTACCATTTGCAGGATTCATGCTTTCAAACAAGAAACTGAGAGACTAGTGAATGAACTGAAGATTTCAGCCAATTACGCGGAAGAAAAATTGGAAACCATTGAAGAGAGAACAGAACATCTTTTGCAGGGCTCAAATCAGATACACGATTCTCTGAATTCGATAGATATACGAACACAACAAGTTGCTCAAACAGCAAGGAATGTAGGAGATCATATTGATGTTGTGTTGAAGCATTCGGAGGCAGTCTACGTGCAGTCTAGGAAGATAGCATCTACACAAGCAGAGCTTCAAGAAGGGCAAGTAGAATTGAAGAATAATTTAAAAGAAGGAATGGCAATGCTTCAGGATTCTTATAGTCATTTGGGACAAGAGATCGATAACCTGAAAAATGAGGCGATTGAAATAGAGGAGGAGATAAGTAGAGTTGGAAATGCAATGACATTAAAGATGGAACATCTTCAAAGCAAAGCTGATGACATTGGGAATATGGCTGGGGTG